CTGCAGTGGAACTGAATTAGGTCTTATAATTGGTGTCCAGGGACTGTTAGAGTTTAGTCCAGTGCCAGGCTCTCAGAGTTTGGCACAAATTTGGTCATTGAATTCACTGAGTGACTCCAGAGTGAGACAGCTTCCAGCTCCCACTGAGCTGCCTCATAAAGAGACATCAGAGAGCCAAAGGATCAGAGGTCAGGCTGGTAATGAAGCCAAGGCAGAGAAGACTTACCAAGTGATGATGTTAGCCCAGAGTCAAAGTTTTGAATTGCAAAAGATTTGTTTAAACCTCCAGGGATTATGTGTTATCTACATCCATCCTCCCAAAAAACTTTTTTCCAATAACACATGATTTCCAATTCCTCAGGTAATAATTCAGTCAATTCAACTTATACAACAAAAACCTTTTTACCACTCTGTTAATCTTTGTCAAATTTGACAAAAAACACAGAAAATGTACTTGGGGGGTCTATTTATTTAATATTTTTTATTTATTTATTTTTGTTAGCACAGGAAGTGCTCTGGTTTCCATTTGTAGTACATCTGCAAGATGTCCAAGTAACAAATGACCAATCATGTAGTCAGTGTCAGCAGGCCTTGGTGCTGCTAGGAAATCAGACTGTGTCGACACACACGCACACCCACACACACACACACACACACACACACACACACAAACACACACACACACACCACTATTATGATCTCTTTGTTTCTATCTGTGGTAACGTGACAAGGATTGATGTGTCTCTCAGGGAAATATCTTTATGCAAGCTAAACTAGATGCTCCAGTTCAAAAATATTACCTTGAGCTACAAATCTGCCTGCTGCTGCATTGTTGAGGCCAAACAGAAGTTACAAAGCCCTAGGACACAACAGAAATAATGGATCCAACCTCCAGTCAACAAAGACATTAAGAGGAGTTAGTTCCTCTTCACAAATCTTTTACTATGTGGACACTTTAATCATGATCGTAATAATAATCATTTATTTTCTCACCTGTAAACTGTGAGCTAATGACCTGAAAGTTGGACTTGGTTTCAAGGTCGTGCTGCTGAGGAAAATCAAATTCTGCCAGCTAATGAACAGAGACCTATTTGAAACTGACTGATGGTCATTTCTTCCAGAATTCAAGTGAAGAAAAAGGCAGCATGGACACTGCAGATGTTGTTGCGTCGAAAAGGGAGGCCTGGCTCGACGCCCGTGAAAACCAACCTTCTTGCCATGTTGGAATTACTGAAAGGTTGGCGTCCTTTTCCAGGTATGTATAACAAATTGTGTCATCAGACAATGATAGGTACTGCGTGCTAATGCGCTCTGTGGTTGCTGTAAACATTACTGTAAACAATGTGTTTTCTTATAAACAAAAGAAAGACACATTGGTCCATTATTTATCAGTCTTGTGTAGAACTGAACGCAGGTCTAAGTGCAGGAATCATTGACGATAGGTCACACGTGACATTTATGAAAGGGTTCGTATCTGACCAATCCCAGCGTACAATGGATCGGGTCTTAATAAATGTGGCAGCTGCAATTGATCATCATTAACATTTCACACCCTTAAATATTAGTGGTTCAGAAGCCTCGTCCACTGAAGTCAAACATGAAAGAGGAGAAATATTAGACAGAAGCAAAAGTTTTCTGAGCTGAGAGTGGATATCATCATGTTTGAGGTGGAGACTAACAAAGACGTGCTCTTTGGAAGCATCAAAACTGGTATCAAAGCAGTCCGAAAAACCCTGTCTGGAGCTGGATTATGGTGGCGGTGAAGAGTGTTGCCGAGGAATAACGGACAGCTGCTTAAGTTTGTAGCCCATTATATGTAGCCTATTAATATCTCATCCATGCCTCATGTTTTTTTTTATTTATTTATTATTATTATTTTTTTATTTATTTCCATGACATAGTTGCTCCTATTATTAAAAGTATTTACTTTTGATATTTTGTTTCTTCAACAGACCAGAGTGAAAAAGTTACAGAGATGTTTGAGTAAAAAACATAAAAGCTACTGAATACAGAAAGAAAAAGAAAAAAAAATTATCATGCGACTGTGTAAATGAAGACTTGACTTTATCATTTGGGAATAAAGAGTTCAGACTTTAACTGTAATTCCTATTATGTGCCTGCAAGTCATGTTCTTACAGGGTCTCAAACAAGTTTAGTCTTCTTCTTTAAGCTGCAATCCCAGGAGTCTTACTGTTCTGAAGAGGAAAATAATTACTGAAGCTAAAAGAGCAGGATGTCAGCTAACTTTGGTGTTTAAACTTCTGTAAGCTCCAGGCTTTAGGGCTTCAATCAGGCTCTGATGTTAGCAGAGTATTCACAATATTTATCTCTCATATAAAGAATGGTATAGGGGCCTTTTCTTAAATATGACCTGCTACAGAGCTTAATAAGAGATATAATAAAGATACAAAGGGTCTGACCAGGACTGAAAACTAGTGTCTGACTTCTTCCCAAATCTACAGTTAAAGTGCAGACAAACCAGTGAGTTCAGTGCATGATTGTCACCTGCACGCTGTGTGCAACCAATCATGTGAGGATACACCAAGCAGAGGGGGGTCGGGGTGCGCCATGTGCTTGTGCTGATTAGACAGATGAGCACAAGCACAAAATGTGATTTTACTTGAGAAGAATTTAGTACAAAAGATGTATTGAAGTATTTAAGAGGTATGTGTCCACATATGTCTAAACAACACTAAATTTGGCTGAATTAGAAAATGTATATGTGGTAAAATGAAGAGCTGTTTGGGTGTGAAAAGAGACGGCTCCTTTTGGTGAGCAGAGCCGAATAAACTGGCTCACTAAAAAGAGTTGTAATTCCCATCCCTTATGCTCTGAATGGGGTATGAGCTATCTGTCATTTTACCCTCTCATCAAGTTTCTTTTGCGGATCAACTGGGGACAGGGCAGCTATTAGTTTTTGACAACGTTCATATTATTAAACAGCCTGATTTGCATAAGACTGAAGACCTGCAATAATAGTTCAGAGGTTATAATGCTAAGATGGTAGACAGACTGCTTTGAATTAGTCCTGATTGAGTTTTAAGACCACCTTACACCAAATAACCAAGTGTGCTCTGACTTCAGCAAAACTCTCCTGATTTTATTATTACTTACTGGAAAAAATGTCTGTGACATTTCATGTATGGTAGGACATAGAACAGAACACTGTTTTTTCTCCGCTCTCTAATTTTCTGACGAGATCATTTTAGGTCAGCACAAGAGAAAAACCGTAAGTCTAAAATCCTCTGTAAACACTTTTTATCTGCTTAATTACAACAAGGTCACAGGAGCAGTATTAAATAATGATGTTGTATTTACAATCTCCTTTTAGTAGATTCAAAGGTCTGTGAATTCTCCTTTTCTTCATGTAGGAAAGTGCACCACTGTGTACCCCTAAAAACTCTGAATAAACTCTTATATCACTTTACTAATGGAACAGATGTGAAGTAGAGGAGTATGTCCTGTATTCTAACCGAGAGAAGTAGAAGTAGAAGAAGAAGAAGAACTTTATTAATCCCCAAAGGGAAATTAAATTGTCTGTTGTCTCACTTGACATGTCTCTAAAAGTTATCTATTATTTACACAAGAGTTATAAAGCCTGATGGCTGTTGGTACAAAAGATCTTCTGAATCTTTCTGTCCTTCAGTGAAGAGAGAGGAGCCGTCCACCACCATTGGCCCTTTGGTCCATCAAGGTGTTGTGAAGTGGGTGAACCATGTTCTTTAGAATAGTGTCCAACTTTCCCAGTGTAGAAAAGAGAAGAAGAACAGAGTGGGTTCAGGTTTTAAGAAAAGACTGGCACCCCCCGCCCCCACCCTCTAATAAAAAGGCCTAATCATTCATTTTATTCATTAACTACTCTCTTCTTTGTTATCCATTAGTCAAAGCCTCAGCTAAATGGATGCATATTGCACTTGCACTTATTTTACAGCACATCCCATTCAGATACTGATAAACAACACTGAGACAGCATCCACCATCCAAATTGCCCAATAATGTGACTTGTTTATTTTATAATGTAAGTATAAACCATTACCAGGATCCTCACTGCTGTCCTCCTGATATTAGCTATGCCATAATTCTATAACCCAGCTTTAGCGTTCCACTGAGAGGTCTGATGATGAGGCGAGAGAGAGCACTCAGATGCTTGAACATTCAGTTTTTCCATTGAATTGTTTTGCTGTTGTGATATACAGTCCTACATTAGAATACACACACCTAGCAGCATAAACTGAGGTGCACACACACACCTTCACAGACAGAGGATAACACTCTTTTCTACAGCTGAGATGGCAGATAGAGAGAATATGACTGTTTGTTTTTACTGAGAGAAATGAAATATGAGCTCCACTTTTATCACTCTACTCTATATGCAGGTCATCAAGAAACTTGTCCAACTTCCACAACTTTCTCCATCCCTATAGAAAACAGGTTCCTAAAGCCTGAGATAGGCACTAAACAAGTTTAATGTCTGGAGATAGACACATGCCTCATGGGCTTTCATTCTTCAAATGTGCCACATCAGCACCATCTTGAATACCTTTGTAGTAGAAAAATCAAGGGCCCTAGCCCTTAAAGTGAAAACCACACAGTGCTTTCTGGTTGCCCTGTTGGTTTGTAAAACATAGACATCACTGTTTTTGTATGCTCTTTCAGTCTATATAATGCAAACAGAGTGCCCTCGAGTCACTTTTTGGCTAATAAATATAAAAAAAGTAAATTGTGGTAACTCTTTTTGGGCCGGATTCACCAAATGTTTGCATGGTTGAAAACATAAATCTCAAAACACCCACAACCAAATGCCCAAACTGATCTTCAGACAAATAGGCAAGATTTTGCACAGTGTCCATTTGGTACATTTGCCTCTTCTGACCAGGAGTCAGCTCTTCACTGACATCTTAAGGGTACAGGACATTCCTTTGAGAACAGCAATATTAGGATACTGGGCAGGGCACCCTACTCAGCATCTCAACATCCAGCCCTTTGACAGTGGGATGACCAACAAAGGCTTTAAATTTCTAACTCTGGCCCCAGTCACTTCAGAACTGAAGAAGCCTTCAAGTGAAGAGGAAAGTCTTCCAGAACTCCAAACAGATCCAGCAGGTTTGCATGCATATATCATCAATCTGATTTAAAGTTATTTAAACATGAGCCGTTTAGAAACATTTTTTGTGATCGAGCCATGTACCCTAGTCACTCCAAAGCTTCAACAAGTAGTGTCATAATTGTTGTGCAAATTAAACTGACATTTCTGTCTGCCTATTTTCGTCTTTTTACCATAATTACACATTTAACTCTTTTGCAAGTTGCAGATTAATGTTCTGGCCCTCTCCTTAGCTTCACGGCACCCCTCCCACCTCTCTCCTCCAGTCCTCAGCCACTCTGCTGTGGAACCACTTGAATAGTAAGACCTCATGAATGTTTGCATCCCATCTTCGATTCCTCTCTCCAGGGCATTGATGGCTAATCATCAAAGCTGGATACATCACTGACCAGCTGTGTGGTGTGCATCACCATAGCTCAAGGATCTCTTGTAGCACCCACCCTACAGAGGACAGAGCCCTCACCTCCTGTGCTATGGATGGCAGTCCATGTTCAAGAGCTACACACTGTTTCATTTCAGTTTGTGTTTCGTTTGTGAACTAAGGACACTAACTGTTAAAGCTTTGGAGGTGAATTCTTCCTTTCTTGCTTGATAAAACGCTTTAGGTGTTTAACAGTCTGGGGTCTCCATTGCGGTATTTTGTTCTTCCCTGTGTTTTAGCCACAGGAGATCCTGGTCAGCTCAACCCATTAGATGAGAAACCAGCCAGGCAACTGGAACAGAAGATGGGCTACCGGCAGCTGCAGACAGAGTCAGATCTTCAATGCAATATTTAGCTCATTTTAACAAACTTCAACTAAAGCACTATTCTCTGCAAGTGTGTGCACTGCTTGTCAATTTTACTCGACCTTGTAGCCAGCAAGCTCATTGATCACTTGAGGTTCTCAGCTCCACCCTTTTATTTCAGTTTTCTAAGACTTTTTTGTCTATGTTATTTTACTAATGCACTGTCTGATGAAGCTGTAACTGTGATATCAAATAAAGCTTTCACTTGAGGCTCTGGCTGCTCATACTCTGGTGTTTTTCTTTTGGTTTTTATGGCCGATCATTTCTAAAGGGATCCTCTAAAAAAAATAACCTCCCACAGCGACCTGAGGGAGATCCATTTAGAGAGAGTGCAATTTCATCAGAGGAAAACAATGGCTTTATTTGTCTTGGCATCTGTTTCAAGAAAGCAGTCTTTAGGAATACCATGAGACTGAATGCTTAATGACATAAATTAATTAGACAAGCTCTTTAATGTCCCATTCAATAAAACCCAAGGTGTTAATTTAAGGGTTAAAAGAGGAAAACATGTGAACGTGTTAATTGGAAGCTTTCTGCTCCTGGGAGGTAAATCTCATTCACTTCTAAGTGGGTGATTCACTTGAATAATGGTTTACACTCACTTTCCCAGCTGTAATGCACAGTTAACAATGAAAATGTTCTGATGGTGTCATGTTCTCAAGTGAGGTTCATTCAGTAACAGGACTTACCTGTGCACGAATGACAGGTTGTGCTCAAACAAGACTCCCCATCCATTTTCTCTCCACTCTCCTACAATTCCCCCCTGCCTTCTCTATCGTGGTTCTCCAGCAGATCCCCTCCTGAGTCTGGCAGAGAGTCATGGGATAAAATGTCCAACCTCTTTGCTCTGCTCAGCTTGTTATCATTTTAACATTTATGCCGGTGGTGGTTTTCTCACTGATTTGATGGCTCCAACAGAGAAGAAGAAAGGATTGGATAAATTGACTCTGAGCAAAGAGAAAGGTGAGTGGAGCCTGCTGAACCTGTTTTAATCTATCTCAGACTATGTCCAACATGTTACTCAGGGTCTTACTGGTTTTAAAGTGGGGCCTGCTCTCAGAGATATATGACTGTCCAACAAATGGAATAGGCTTTTACATTTTACAAACCCACTTGCCTACTGTTTGAAAGTCAAACTCATCTGAAGAGTCCAGTGTGAGTCACCCTTGACCGCTGGGAATTGGATTGATTGGGGTTTAGTAGGGCCAACATACAGATAGTAGTTAAGGGTACAAAGTCCACTAGCCTGGATATTTATATAATATTTAAACTTAACAATGAATTGAAATTCTCAGAGGGAATAAGTCTGTAGCTGTACAAAAAATCTCTTTTAGATTAATAAAACCCTTCACTACTTAAAGCAATACTTTGTGTTTCTTTCTTCATATTCTTAGTTAGCGGTCTGTGGGGTAAAGTACAATAAAACGGTAATAGATAAAAATCTTTATCTGGTAATGGGGTCCATCACACCCTGTAACATCCAGGGGCCTGTTACAGATCCTTTGAACAATTTTTGTCTCAAGTTAAGGTGAAAAGTCTACACTATGATGCTGGAATGCATCACCAGTTACTTTCCTGGGGTCATTGGGGGTTTCGGGTCTGTCAACATTATACCCCTTCACTCAAGCGACCCATCCAGGGTTGATCAAGTCAGTAGCACTGATCCACGGGCTGACCAATGTTTGCGCCAAGGTTTCTGAAAATGGTACAGCCCTTTAAAATTCCCTTCTCTAGCCTACACCAGTCAGATGTTATGGACCCAGAGGTGACTCTAATTTGGAAATTGTTGTGGTTATCCAGAATGAGATTGTCGATCTTGTTGGGAACATGGTATCTGCAGAGAATCTCAGTAGCTGCGTTTCCATTACCCATAGATTTGCGCAAAACCTAAATATCGCAATAGATAACTGGTAATGGAAACACCTAAATTTCGAAAGACCTCTCAAATATCGCTAAAAAGTTTTTACGCTCTCATGAGGTGGTTTTTCAGAAGTGTCGATATAGAAGTATATCGCAAAAGTGTAATGGAAACACTATTCTCGCAATTCTCTGTCACCGGACGTGACGTAGCGGGTCATGTGACCAGTTCATTTCAATGGAAGATGGCGGTATGTGTGGACGGGGGAGGAGACGGAGTAATGTCTGAGGTTTTGAATTGTATTTGTATTTTTCTGAAGTTTTGAATCCACAATTCATCTGTGAATTCCTCATTAACGATCCTCTCCCAGAAATCCCTCATCCGTGTCCGCTCCCATACATACGGGTTTTGCCTTTGAATTATCACCCGCTGCCTTCGTCTTCTGATGACAGCAGCGGCAACAGCAGTAATGGTCACAGAAATAGCTGCTCCAAAACGCAAAATGTTTTGTGTCTCGTCCATGTTGGTGTGCAAAAAGGCTTAAGGAATACGAGGTCGCACGGGCAGGAAGTTTACCTCGTTGCTAGGCAACGGCCATTCAAACACGGGTCGTGAGAGGCAGACGGCTCGCTTATGCACTGAACACCATTCAATGGAAACACCCGCAAATCGCAATTGTACTTTGTCGAAATTTGATAAACATAGCTTTTATTTTGCGAAAAAATGTAATGGAAACGCAGCTAGTGATGAGCTCATGTGGTATGGACCCATAACCATTAGCATGGTCAAGCCACAGGAGCACCAGGTTGCCCTTACCTACTTTTGCTTTCCTGTAGAGCTGTGTGATAACCCCTGTGTGTTCTATGCAGCCAGATGTTCCAGGGATCCAGCCTTTCTGTACTGTGTTGTCAATGTAATTGTTCAAACAGAATGTTGACATCCTTCATGACACAATGCTGAAGAATATCTCGCTGGGAGCCATCTGATCTGCTGTCAAACTACTCTGCATGGAGTTGGAGTCTGGGAAACAGGTGTGTTGTGGCGCTGGGCTCTGCGGGGTGATTCCTAGCTGTCCTCCTCCCGCGTCTTACAAGGAAATAGTCCTGTGCATTGTGACTGTCCATCCTTGTCCAAGCATTTCATCCTAGCCTAATGGATTTTAAGGCTCAGTGGATTCTTGCATACTTAACCGCAGGTGTATTTTGCATTCTTTGTCATCTGGCCATTTGTATGGGTCATAATACACTAAAACCTACTTGAAACTGGTTAACGTTAAAGGTGAATCTTTGTGCATGTAAAGATCATCTTAACCAGTAAAATGTAAAGTCTGGACAAACCAAATTACTGTGGAGTACATGACATTTACACAGTAACCAGTCAGAGCAAAGCTTTTGTTTTTGTGAATTGTTTGTTTAAGAGCTAATTTTACTGCTGAAGTGTCTCTAAAGATGAAGGAGAATAAGCAATAATGAAGTCTGGAAACTAAACTTTACTCTTCACCAGACAGTACTGCCCATCAACTAAAATGAGGATGACTTTGGTTAAACGTAATGAGCTCAAAAGACAGGATGGAGGTGATCAGCAGATATGCAGGTGTGTGCAGTGCTCACTTCAAATATCTTGTATTTCCTGTTGTGTAGATGGATGGCATTATTACTCCCCCCCCCCCCCCCCCCCCCACACACACACACACACACACACACACACACACACACACACACACACACTGTCACACTGTCAGTAAAAACATGGCAAGGCACTGAGGATCCTGGTGAGGAAAGACCACCTATGGGAGCCGTCCACACAGAGAGGAGCCACAGCCCACCCCCACAGGGAGCACCGCCCCCGAGACCCCCCGACCCAGACAGCCCGGGTGCACCCTGCACATAGTGCAGAGCCCCCTAACCGTCCGGGCCTGGACGATCCCAAGGACCGCGCCCCCGGGGGGCTGACCAGACACACCTCCCAGTGTGGAGGGCCCCCACGAGGAAACTCTGGAGCTAAAAAGACAGAGAGATAGTAGAGTACAGGAATTAAAATAATGTTAAAATATCTAAATGACAAAGAAAAGTGATAAAAGTAAAGGATAAAAGAAACTAAAACAGTTAAATCAGCTAAAAGCCAAACTAAAAAGGTGGGTCTTGAGCCTCCTTTTAAAAACATCAACAGTCTCTGCGGTCCTGATGTTCTCTGGCAGGCTGTTCCATAACTTTGGGCCATAATGGCTGAAGGCAGCCTCTCCGTGAGTTTTTTTTTTTGTCCGAGGAACAACTAAAAGGCCGGCGCCAGAGGACCTCAGGGTACGGGAGGGTTGATAAGATAAAAGCAGTTTAGATAAATAAGATGGGCCAAGACCATTAAGACACTTAAAAACTACTAAAAGAACCTTGAAATCGATCCTGAAACACACGGGGAGCCAGTGCAGGGATTTTAAAACCGGTGTAATGTGCTCCCGCCCTCTGGTCCTCGTCAGCACACGTGCTGCAGAATTTTGTAGCAGTTGTAGAATGTGAGTAGTCTTTTTGGGAAGACCAGAGAGCAGGGCATTACAGTAATCTAAATGACTAGAAATAAAAGCATGCATCAGCACCTCCGTGTTGGCCTGGGAGAGAAACGGGCAGACTCTGGCAATATTCTTAAGATCGTAAAAACCTATCTTTGTTATATTCTTGATATGTGGAATAAAATTCAGCTCAGAGTCAAAAATTACGCCCAGATTCTTAACAGACTGAGCGGGTTTAAAATCTTGTAGTTTGGGTAAAAGTTTCTCTCTCTTGCCTTCAGGACCAATAATTAAAACTTCAGTTTTGTCCTGGTTGAAATTAAAACTTCAGTTCAAAGTCAGGTTATCAACAAAGTTCTTACACTTCTTTTTCTTCTTCTTCTCCTCTTTTTTAGGAAGTTGTCAACAGAAACCCCTCAGATATACAAAGTAGTTTGATCACTTTTAATTTTTGCACTGTGTACAATTTATTGACTTGATTTGGCACGAGGACAAGTTTGTTCTATAATGTACTGGTAAATCACTGTTTTGCTACCGGTAAATCACCGCCTGTAACTCACAAAAAAAACTGTTTTGAAAGTCAACTCAAATCATAGCCTTTCTGTTGGATTGAGGGTCAAGGTACTTGAGGATTCTTTGTAAGTCATGAGATGATAGTTGTTCATAAAAGAAGGTGAAAATAACTTCTATGGGGAGCTCTTTTTGAAAATGTCTAGGCAGTGCGATGGAGCAAACTTTTATTAAGACCCCCACAAAAGAGCATTTCTGTTTTATTATTTTATGAGACCTGATACATACACCAAGCTTGGCGAGTTTTGGTGCCTTGTTAAACAGTCAAATTCAGAGCTT